AATTTTCTTGGAAGAACTGAAGTAATCACGATAAACCATAGGTAGAATAGCAGCACTAATATTTTAAATCAAGGACTCCAGAATACAAAGCAGAAGTTCAAAACAGTCGATCGCGATGTGTGGCCGTACCGTCTCATTCGAACATTAAACTGCTTAACATCAATTTGTACAACTATACAATATGTGAATAGCAAAACGACGAAGGAATAAAACGCCAGCGTTTAAAATAATGTACACTTCGGATGCAAATTTACTGCACGTACATTTGTAATTAAGAACTGTGTTTGAAATGTAATAAAATAAATATCAGCCGGTCTTACCTCCACCAGTCGCACACTCGCCCTCTCGAGCAATGTAAGCACTACTGTAGAATGGATGTCATTTCTCTGTGACACCAGAGAAACCCCTGTTCACTCTACGTCACAGGCCACCTGCATGAGCTTCGTTAAGCACCTGTGCTAAGTACTATATTTCAGCATCCTGTTGTGAACATTACAATTCAGAGTTGTATTGACTGTCAATAAAACACCGCAACTAGATGAATAAACTGCGACGTTTAATTTAGATTATAAATCGATAGTTCATTATGCTATCGACATGCCGCGGGACGGACAGCCTTGCGAGAAAAATTCTGCAATTAAGAATTGTTACTTTGTTATACTTCATAAATATATCAAACGGCATGAAATTACATTATTAACTTCTTTTCGAGAAACTACCAGTCGCTTAGTTGGCCATAGTTTGCCACCTCTGACATGGTGTTTGTATTCGTCTGTATTTTGGTGTGTTACCACTGTACACTTTTTTTACAGAAATGCTGCAATGTCCGTGTTCGCATTAACTGTGGTGGGCATGATCGCCTTCACATTTTCGTTAAAAACACAGTCCGAGATTTTTGTTTACCTTGCAACTTCTTTTGTGGGGTAAGTTTCACTTGTCTGGGCTGATTATATGAAGCTGTTTGTTACAACCTTTTATACGTCTTCGACAGGATAGGCGAAGGAAGAAGTCTATGGAAAAATCTTACCAGAAGAAGAGATAGGATGGTGGGACACATTCCGAGGCACCCAGGATTGGTTAATTTGGTAATGGAAGGAACAGTTGAAGGGAAGACAAATATTGGAATATGTGACGCAGATTTTTGAGGATGTGGGCTGCAAAAACCATGTGGAAATGAAGAGATTGGCGCAAGATAGGCGAAAATGGAGGACCGCATCAAACCGGCCGAAAGACTGATGGAAAAAAAAGGGGGGGGCCCAAAGTTGCATGTCACTTCATTAGCTTGTGGGCAGAACAAATCCAAATGCACATACAATGTAAACCAAAGACATTCTCAACACAGGAAATAAAACAAGGAGCTACATCGTATTGCCGCTGCAAAATGTTGTTTGTAGTACGGACATTATACGCTTCTTTGTCTGCTACCTCTCCCGCCCCTCTGATCATGATGCCTTTTACTTCTATCGGTCCTCAGACTCGTCCCGAATACTATAAATTAACACGAATGCATTTAACTGGAGCTTTGTAATAAATAATTGGACAGCCAACACAGTGAGAATAAAAAATGAGATGTTAGAATTCCAGTCGGGTTACCGGGTATTCAGACAGGGAGTGAACGAAAGTGCTGGCAGTGGCCGTCGCTTACTTCAATTGTAAAAACCATGGTTCTCAAGGAATTTGGGGAAACAATAAAGCACTTCCATCGTGATAATGGACATCAGAGAAAGAACTTTCCCATGAGAAAATGGATTGTGGTTCGAAACCAGCTCGAAGGTATAGATGTTTGCGGAGTTTTAACAATGTTTATTGACGAAATAAAATATCTCCATTGTTAATTGACACATAGTAGAAGAGGCTAGGGTAAGAAAGAAGAAAAGAAATAACGAATAATATAACATAATGTAACACTTCATAATTGCATCTGAAATATATCTGTTCATACAGAGTGACAAGATTTTGTTTAAATGAGGTGGGGGGACTTAAGTACAATTAGTCACTGATAAAAATAATCATCTATTCACTATTGAGTGCAAGTTATTTGTTCATTCTTGCATATCGCCCCAAATATACATTAACTCTTTACAAAATGGTAGTATATAAATATTACTTTAACATTCAATAATGCCATATTTTGCACACAAAATGTATTTGCATGTTCTGTATCATTTTGGGAATAAAGAGTGATTATTTGCCTAAAAAGCATCAACCAGTTAATCTTTGTAATGACTACAAATTGATTTTTGGGATAGCAACTGAATTTTTAAGTATTATTTAGACAAACTTATTGGCTCAAATGTTTGTGCCTGAGAGCACCAAACACAATTCAATTGTTCGTGTCCAATTATTAATAATGAAATTCTCTAATATTTATATGTGTATGTACTTCAGCATGTATAGACAATGCATGTTAGTTCACTGTGAATAACTAATATACATTTAACAATTCTAAACTAAATGATGTGTTTTTGGAGGCTCTCCAGTCCACGACCACTTCTGAAAAATTTATCCAACTCCAAGGTATGAAAAACTGCACACCCGACCTTATATTAAATTTGTGAAATGTGCAGACCTTATGAGCAATCACTTCAGAAAAATGAAAACTAACAACGTGGCAAACGCGAAAAGTAGTTTGACGTGGCTACGATAATTTAAAAAAAGAGATATATGACGTGTTATGGCGACAATAACTATGGTGCATCTTAGCCTACTAACAGTGAGAGTGTTTTTATAAATTTAAACGTTCTAGTTCTTTGGCAATATAGTTCCTTCATTTTCTGTTTCAGGTTCTTCTTGGGAGGATACGTCCCTATAGCATATAGCTTTTCATATGAAGTAACTTATCCAGAACCCGAGGGGACTTCTAGCGGTATGCTGTCTGCAGCTGCCCAAATTGTAACTACAATCTTTACGCTGTTGTATGCAGCCATGATTTCGTCTTTGGGCAATGTATGGGCCAATATTGCATTCAGCTTAATTCTTCTAATTGGCACAATTATCCACCTCTTTATGCAACCCACCTTACGGAGACAGGCAGCTTATGAGAACGTAGTGTCCATCAATGAACCACTGTTACGGTAGGACATGGATTCTACATCGCCAGATATCCCAGCACAATACACAAACAAATCACTTCTCGTAGGGAGGTTTAATGTTTCGCCAGTTATTATAATCATAAGTCAGTCTCATTTTCCTAAGCCAAGTTGCTCAGTGTCCCCAACAGAAAATCCCAGCATAAGAATTCTTATCGCTACGATATTACAGACAAGTGAAAATGTTACAGCCTTTGCCCAAAGAAAATATAGAGCCAACACTTTGGCAGATTTTTTTAAAGGTTTGTGTGGCAAGAATTATGAGTTAGTTATAACCTCGGCACTAGATGGAGGAAACTGGTTAGCGTCATAACCCGGCCGCTTTACTCCCGGGGAAGGGACCCCTGGTACAAATTGGACAGGAGGCTGAGTGGGCGACAGAACCGGTCTGGACATAGAGGCTACAAGAAAAATCCTCTGCCCCGAAAGGGAATCGAACCCCAGTTGTCGTCAGTTACAATACTGACCGAGGGTAATTAACGACCGAGCTAATGGCATGCCAACTCTGGGATTTTACTAGTAATGTTAGTACAGAAGTATTGAGAAAATGTCTGTATGTGAAATCATTGGTGATAAAACACTGTAGTAAATGTTCTTGAAATAAAATACTTGCACAATTCTGTTGTTTGTCCAAAACAATATTTAATACAGAAAGTATAAATCAAAATGTACAGTACTTTTATTTCAGTAAAAGCTCTTCTCACATAGTAACAGAAGGTTGATTTAGAAATGGAATTTTATGTGCAAAATACAAAAACATGGATCTATACAGACGCTAGCTTTGCACTTCAAGTGTGGAATAAAGACACACAGTGATTGCCACCACAAAGCTTAGTTGGTTTACAATGACAAATACCAGAAATACATCCACTAAATGAATAACAAAATTATAATTGTGCCCACTGTTCTGAAAAGGTGTGAAACTTAATTTCTAATCCAAAGAATGATACCTAAGAGAAAGAAAGGATCAAGAGGATGAAGAAAATTACATATTGAGGAACTTCATAACTTACACTCTTCACAAAATATCGTTAGGGCCATCAAATCAAGGATAAGATGGGATGGACATGTAGCATGCATGATGCAGATGAGAAATGCATACAAAATTTAGTCATGAAACATGATGGATCTTTAAATATAAGATGTGAAGGCACGGACTGGATTCAACTAGCTCTGGACAGAAGCCAGTAGCAGGCTCTTGTAAACATGGTAATGAACCTTCGGGTTCCATATAGGTGGATAACCTTCTGATTAGCAGAGCAGCTATTAGCTTCTCAAATAGGACTCTGCTCCATGGAGTTAGTTAGCTGATATACAAAAAGGTTCAATGATACTAGAATTAAACCTGTCATAAATCACCATGCATTCAGCATTAAACTTAAGTTAAAAGCTTTTCAAGGTTGTTTCATATGAAATTCTGAAAACCACAATCTTACGTAGAAAAGATTCATTATGCTTTCTCAATTGTATATATTATACAATGTCCAATGGTAAAATGTAACTAAAATTAAAATATCACAGTGGTTATGTCTGCATATTTTATGCATCTTCAACTATATTTAATACACAAAACATAAAACAATTTAGCATATAGTACATAACATTACATTAACCAATGAATCACACTTAAAAAAACATGCTATTTCACTGATACACTGCAATCACGAATACCACTCTTCAATATCTGAAATTATGAACAATAGCACAAAAGTTAGGACAATGTAACAGAGCAGAATTTCTATATTAGACCCCACATGCAATATATAATATATTGAACAAATTACCTGGAACTCAGCAGATGACTGTTGCCGTCTTGTACTTTTAAAGAGAACAGCTGCGTAACGCCCACGCTGCAGGTTACCCAACATAAGTCTCTGATTGCTGTAATGACCAAAACTGTCACCTAAAGCTGGCACCAAGTGACTATTTCCTGGACCTATTTTAGTGGTCAGCTGGTTTGTTACTAATACCTGTCAGGAAAATAGAAAAACTTAAAAAAATGTAATTTTCAGATGTCACAGGTTATTATGTTAAAAAACAGTATGTTAAACAAACCAAAAAATACTTTAAAAATAAAGAATAAATAAAAAACCCAAATACACACAAATGAGGTCTGACATAATGAGACTGATTCTTTTTAGACAAATAGAGTGCCACTAGCCTTTAGCAAGTTCACATATTCGAAGTGCTTACCTTTCCACTTATACACACATTCCAGTGTCTCTGCCATGCCTTGAAACATGGCCTAAAAGCATTTTCCAAAAGTACTTTCAGTACAGTTGTCATATTGCCATCAATGTTTAGGAAACATTAAAAGACACAAAGGCCTACATCAGGAAATCATGGTGATGTTCCAACACCAGCAATTGTTTCTGATCAAACTCGCCTTGCCAAACATATTGTGTGGGAAGACAGATTGTCAAGATGCAAAATTCACTTGTCTGGCCAAAACCTGAATGTTCATTGTTGTTAGCTGTTTATTTTGGAAAAATAAATTTATAGCAGATAATTTTTTTAAAAAACAGATCAGCTTAGTTATAATCTTTGATTTTGACATTTTTAGGTTCACAGAATTTGGACTTCATTGGTTTGATTCTTGGTTGTACTGGAAGACCCAGTCTCATCACCAGCCAAGTCACTATTTCTTCTGAATGTTTCGTTCTTCCAACAATCTTCCTGAACAGTTGGATCAAATTTCTTTTCCCAAATTTTCTGACAACCAAACAAAACACTGTGCTAAGAAGAAAAAATGTACTGCAACAACACACACTGAAACTTGATGACAGTGTAACACAATACTGCAGAATCATACAGCAATGTGATCCAACATATGTCAACTCACCAGTAATTGTAAATAAATGTAACAGTCGAAATGACTGGCAATAAATGAAGCTATTTACAAAAAGAAATGACCCCACATAAAATGGAAATTATGCTCAATGAAAAACACAAAATGAACAACTCAACACAATATAACAAAAATAACTATACCACATCCTCTTACTTCTTTACACACAACTTAAAATTGGAGTAAAGAGATGATATTAAAGTAAAATCCCACACTAAAGATAGGCTAGACATGGAGAATGCATAGGGAGACAAGAAACATACTTAGGATCTTAGAAAGGATCCTCCTGGAAAGAGAAGAAGATGTCCGAACCTTGACCAATAGCAGACTTTAGTATCAGCAGTACTAAACCTTCAAATTCCATTATCAGAAAGTTGGTCATTTATTCAGTTTTTTAGTTGGGCTATACATTATTTGTCTGTTTCAGACAACTCACTAACAATCTTCAGTAACCTGAGGATGATGACAAAAATGGCTCCCAAAATGTTGGTGTTTTCTCCATTCAACCACCTGACATGGCTGGTGGCCTAAGAAGAATTCATTAGACTCACTAACAAAACTATTAAAAGAATTAGGTTAACTTATGGCAATACACACTTACAGCTACATTATGCTTCACTGCCACCATTCTCAGTTCTTGCATAACATCACACAATAATCTGGTTCTTAGAAGAGAATTCAGGATTCCATTGCGAAATGGAAAAGCCAGACTATCCACCGCTACTAACCTGACCTGGAACACATTCCATTATTTGCAAAGTTTAGTATTGCACATCTGTGAGACTTCATGTAATTAATATTACGTATATGCTCAATAGCAAAAGCACTATTCAAACCTGAAACAAAGAAGTGTGTGAAAAGAAAAGAAAAAATTTCACTCATTTTCTGACCCATTTCATGGTAAGAGAAACTTTTCTGAACAGTCACGTATGTAGGTGAGGAAACCTTCAACTGTATTGAATAGCATGAATTCCATGTGTGCCATTACTTTGGTGAATCTCATATACCACTACTTCATACATTAATCAGAATGAGTCAGCACATTAATTACTTCATTTCTCATAATTCAGTAATTCATGCAATTTTAATTTTGTAGCACTGCCCAACAACCAAATAAACAAACCATCACATGTTAAGTACAGGAATTTATATAAGCAACAAATACCTGTCTCTTTTGATGCAGAAAGTCATTAATGCTATATATTGCTGCAAGTAACTCCACATAGTCATGAGTAGCAACATAATAGACCCCTTGCATTACAGCATCTACTGTGAAGTTCTCAATCTGTTGTCCCATATCTTCTTGGTCCTGATGGAATGCTACCAGCTGACAATGGTCTACACATGCTTCAGCCATTTCTGGATGAACAGGTTAAACAAAGTTGACAATGGTCTTACGGGTTGTGATGCTGTGTGGCTTTGCAGGATGGTACCAATGTCCCTCTAAAATATCCACAAATCTGCAAGTCCACATGTCACAACCCATAAGATCACCATCAACATCTTCTATGCCTTGTGATCTTCCAAATATCATGGGTTAAATCACCTCTTTTGATCACATGATAATTAAATGAAGGCAATGGGTAGAATTCAAAATTAATATCACATAATGAGGACCTTTGTGTTTATACTGGTCACCTATGTTAGACATAGCTTTATCTTCACCTGTTCTGCACACCTTCACTGCATGCACTGAACACATGAACAAGTTCACTTTTACCTTTCCATAAGATGATAACTCTCAACTCTCACATAATTCAATCTCTACATGAAGGAACATGTATTCACTGAAGCACAAAATGCACACAGTTATCAGCCATTACTAGATAGGAAGCTGGGTGTGCTCCAGAGTCAGTCTGGTCATGATGCCAAAACGAGAAATCCTTGCCCCTACCGGGAGTCAATCACCAGTCCTTCAGTCCATAGCCAGTCACTTTACTGAATGAACTATTTTGGCTTGTAAGGAAATTAGAACTTGCTGGTAATTTAATAATTATATACAACTCTCATTGGCTCACCTTTTAGTCTTGCTGGTGTAAAGCCACTACTTGTATCTATGAACAGTGCTTCTCCTTCAAGACCACCAAAGGATCTTGGTATTTGAACATCCACACATACCTGTAGGCTGCAGAGAGGCAATATGAAGCTCACATGTCCAAGGGTAATACATTAACATGTGGAGATAAATCACAACTATGTGGTACAATCTTTCATGCGAGAAATACATTTACAACAGTCAGAAGAGCAAAATGCTCGTAACAAAAAGTACAGAATTCTAATAAAACCAAAGGATGTTCACTCCACAGTTTCCCAAAAAACTATACAATTTAAGTAGCACTACAAGAATTATTTACAATCAATTACAACAGTTAACTGAGTTACAAAACATATAGCTTGAATTTTGAAGGAATCTACAGTGAATCCTTTTTTATGTGGGTCCCATGTAATCGCTGCATATCCTCATATCACAGACTCACAAGACCGTGTATTTAATATACTGGAAACAGTATGTGTATGTGATTATCATACTAAATCTACCACAGAGGTAAATTGTCATACTCCCTCTAATGGTATACTTTTAAGGAAAGAGAAAGGTATCTAGAGTTCTGTTTGTACCACAAACATATTTTCATGATTCTAAATTATTTAGAATGTTTACCATTTAGTTGAATTATAATATGGGTCAAAATTATTTAGAACTTACCTCATTTGAGTCTTGCCTGACCCTGGTGCCCCACACAGCTCAGTAATTTCCCCCACCACAATCCCACCATCCAACAAATCATCAACTGCTTTGCTAAATGTCACAATATGAGGGGAAGTGCATTCTTCCTGTAAAATAAAGTTCTTGTTGCATTTTCACTTTGACTAAACTGACTCTATGGAGCAGATTCCTTCCTGAGATTCTGATAAATTATCCAGCTAGTCAACCCTACCATTTATAGAACCCAAAGTTTAACTACCACGTTCACAAGTGCCAGCCATTGGACTACATCCTGAGCCAGATAAATCCCTCCACATCCTAACACAATATTCTCTCTGAGGTTTCCTCTATCACTATTGACAACTACACTCTGCATTTTCCAAAGCCATAAACCTATTTGAAATTTTAATCTAACATTGTTTTGTAACTTACATTTCTTGAGATTAAATATTTGTGTTCAAAATTTGCTTTACTCATTTACTTAACAAATGCATTTTCCAAATTTCTGCAATCACCACACAGTTGTATAACAGATCCTCTATAGAACTGGATGCCAATCATCAATAAATATGACTGTGGTACTACATCAGGAGATGCCTGACTGCATTTATGTATGTTGCGTATGTTATATGTCATGATGTGGGAATGCTGATTCAATGCTGTCACTTCTCTACCTGCCAAATATCTAAAGCAGACTTTGTGGGAGGAACAGATGCCAAACGTTTCAGCTGTTCATCAATACCCCATTGCTTGACCAGTTTATTTCCTTCAGGGCCATAACCTGCAAAAGAAGACAATAAAAAGAAAACAAATCTCATGACATTTTTTAAAACTGATAATTCACTGTGCCTCACAGTCAAGTAAACTAAAGTAATTCTGGTGATTGTGCAGATGGCAGCAGTAGGGAAGGGGTGGGCATGATGTTGGTGATATAGTACTAGTACTAGTAGTAGTAGTAGTAGTAGTAGTATCAGACAACAATAATCTGAGGTAGATTTTTATTTACTGATGTTTCTACAATGTACTGGCCAATTAAAAAGTTTACTTAATATTTTCATATCTTCCCCCGAGGACTACTCTTATATTTTTACTCTTTCCTTACTCTCTTTTCTGTATCTTTTTCACATGGTGAATTCTTGTAATCATTTCTACATTGACAGCTTTGAAACCCTCATAGGAATTGTACTGTCATTAAAATATAATGTTTCCATAAAACTGTACTGTTATCTGACCATCTTTTCTGGTAGCCTTTCTACTATTACATCTTCTCTAATGCTCAAATTTCAGGTTTCATCCCAACTTGTAAATAATAACCGATAGAAACTCTGTTATGAATATGTGTGTCAGTCCGCATGAAAACCCTTTGCCATTTCCAAATAAATATCTCTCATTGTCTAGCCAAATTATTCACCTCTACACATTCTTTCGGTACCCCC